AAAGTCCTCCAGGCATATCTAAAACTACAAGTGCGAGGATGAAAAGAGTCGAACAGAAGCTGACCAGTCAAGTAAGGATGACCTTTAAATGACGTTAATTTCCTATCGGAAAGTTATAGATTTCATCAAGAACGAAGACTCACCGGAAACGAAACGAGAAACTATTCGCGATGGTCATGAACATCTACAGTACCATGGAGGAACCTGACTTCTGATGGACCAGTGAACTTGTTGGCTTGGAAATTAGAACTGCAGAAACGAATGAAGAACTACAAACATGACAGAGAATAACGAAAACGCAACAGTGACGAACTAATCGAAGAGCTCGAAAGTGCTCTATTGCCCTCAAAATAAGAATGGCACGAATGCGGCTCTGCCAACGTCGGCTGAAGCTCAAAGTTCCGTATAATGGCTGAACAATGAAAATCATGAACAGAGATGAGATGCTAGCACAAGACTTGCCATAACGTCAAATTTTAGAAGAATCGTATGTCACCTTATCCTCTTCCTTCATATTGGTCTTGCATATCAAACCAACAAAGAAGAGGCAACCAGATGTTAATAACGGAAATAAAATGCCGCTAATTACGCCATAGGAAAGTTGTTTGACGAATGGATAAAGCAACTTCGTACTCAGATCATAACCCCCTACTTGTAAGATCCCATAAGTGCAAGCTCAAAGGTTGTCTCAAATCTGCAGACGAACTGTTAAAACTTGGAATCGCTGCGAATACCTCATATGGACCTACTGCCTCACCCTGTTGAACATTCAGCATTTTTTAAACAGAAAATAGCGGTTATGGCTGCACGACCAAGCGTTATAACGAGACAATCACAAACGAAGGCATAGGGACGATATGTCCAGAAGCAATGGCAAGAAAGTTTTTGCCTCATTAAAACAGCACGAGTAGATCGATTACTAATCTGATCCGATCAAACCTGAAGATATGCTAGATCCTACTAAAAGGGCACTTAATTGGAAATCCTCGAGACTAGATGATATCCAAAAATACTGATAAAAAGTTTTCATATGCACGCAAAGTATACTGGCATCATAGGTGGAGGTAATATTTGAGGATCACGGGCTCGTGCCCAGCTTCTTAACTGAAGGTGTAACCTAGGAACTGATTGCCACTGAGTCTAAGAACTTTAGGATAATAAAATGTCTGTCGACAGTCATCAACCTCTTGACATCTGTATTGCGATGAAGATTAGACCGTATCCTCTTACGAATACCGGCTTAACAGAAGAGCAAAATACCTGCAGGCAAAGAAGCTATGGGTGCAAAGAGCTGCAGATAATTAATCCAGTAGTTACCAATCAAATCCTATATGCAAGATGTAACATCGTACTTGGATGGATTGATTTTTAAGAAGCGCTTGACTCGTTTGACTTATTCATGGCTGCTGAGAGTGACACGAATGTAGAAAATGGACGAAAATATCACTTCTCTGACGGCCTACTTCATGGAGAGGTGCATAACAGTATGAAATCAAAGTGTTTCGTATCGGAAGAGGCATTTTTCAGGGAGACAGCCTCGGTCCTGTTTGATTCCGTTTAACATTAAAGCCGCTCAGTGAGCTGTTTAACTGTTCGGCACACGGCCACCTGATCCCAAAGAGGAAAAACTCAAACAGCTCTGTCATTTCTTCCAACGGACTGTATGTGAGACGGGAAATGATTGTTCGAGCCAGAATCTAACTAAAGCAAATCAATCGGAATGGAACTCTGTCCAGGTAAATGTACAGTTATGCTCCGTAAGTGGGGAGAACCGATGCAGTCAGAAAATCTGAATCACGAGGACAGGACAGAAATTTCGGAGGACAGGAACTAAGCCCAGACGCGTGTCATAAATATCTGAGACTGCAGGAACCTCTCCAAATGGATTCTATGCAAATGTAAAAAAGTGATAAAGATATTCACCAAGCGCTTCACCAACGTGAAAACGGCTGTCTTCTATGAATAAGATCCAAGCTGTCAATACGTGGGCTATGTCACCTGTAGCGTATGCATTTGGAACCGTGAAACTGTCCCAGACCCCTTTCGATGATCTCGATTGAAGGGTAAAAATTACACTAACGAATTTAAGCGTGCACCTTCATAGATTATCTGTAGCCAGGTCATATTTACAAGGAAGCACGGTGGCCGCGGTCTGCTGAACGTTGTTGATCTATACAAAAAATGAAGATCCTTTGCGCAGCCACAGCCATGGCACAATCTGATGCAAGACATACGCTGCTAAGGCTGTGTGAAAGCGATCATCAAGTACAGAAGAAAGATCTAATATCTAGACTTGATGAATGGACCTGGAAAAGTCGCTTCCTCGGCTTCCAGATGAAAGACTTTTGTGTAAACATACGGATTTGCCGGGACAACACAAGATCAAGTAGTACTCGAAAAGAACTAAAGAACTAT